TTGCCATCGTGAAAAATAACGAATCTTGCAATTACTTAATTTTAGGAAATACAAGTTTTATGGTACCCTGTGACCAAATAACTGAGGTTCACTAAATGGTTTGTGTGTGAAGAGTGTGAGAAATGACACAAAACTGAAATGATGAGTTCAAATTAGATATCTATCTAGAATGTTGAAAAATATTTTTTATTAAAATCAAATTAATGGAATTATTATATAACACATACATTATAAGTTTACTGTTATGAGAAAAAAATGAAAATTATAAATGTAATATTTTTAAGGTTTATTAATAATTTAAAATGTTTATTTTGCTGTTTAAAGCACTTTTTATTTCTCTCCATATTTTATATTTTGTTCTTATTCTTATGTGTTATATTATCATTACTTTATTTATTTATGTTTCTGTAAATATGTGAACATGTTCTCCGAATTCTATTATAAATGTCCATAATTGGGACCGATTGTAATATTTATCAACAAATAAGTTGAAAAAAAATTATTTTTAAGAAATTAATTCTTATGAACGTAAGGTAGTATGTAAAAAGTTGTGTGATGCTCAAGATTTTTTTTAATAATTGAGTCGCCCTAAAATGAACCTTAATTTTTTTTTTAAATCGGCATAAGCATGGATTTCTAGTAAAAACACAATGAATCTGATTATTTTTTTAACTAACTAAAAAAATTAAAAAAACAGTGTAGAAATAATTGAGAAAGAAGATGGCCCGAGATGGAGATCATAAAAAGACTAAAACAGTAAAAAAACATTTTATTTCAGGCCAACGTTTCGACCCGACTTTGCAGATCTTCTTCAGGGCTAGAAAGAACAATATACAGAAAAATGTGGAAGTTACATAATATGTAGATACAAATTATAAACTCATTAAAATTATAAACGGTGTGAATAGAAATATTAAAAATAATAAACTATAAGTTTATTCCGGCTACCGACTTTTTTTTTTCAAAGTTCGTAAGAAGGAGCAAAACGTTTTGAGACGATTTTCGAAACAAAAGATAACTCGAAGAAAGAAAAAAAATGAATAAAATATAAGGAAGTGTTTACGTTGGTTATTGGCTAGAGGGTGACTAGAGAGGTTGAAAGTGAATCACAGTTTAGGAGCCCAGACAAATGAAAATAAACCAGACCGCGTAAGACCCATTCATTAGATTATATTTAGCCCCCTGTTCTGAGGGGGCCCCCACCCCGTTCCCTGAGCGTCGCATCTAGATTACATAGACCCTAATCTATCTAATTGATCATCTAACACCTGCCACTAACTTGGTCGGGTTTGATAGATTACTCCAACTCCGCCGTTAAAGCCCATTAGTCCCGAAGTCATTACAACTAGGAACAGCTTTACTTCACTTAATAACATTTCTAAAAATACATAAATAAGTATCCCTCTGAGACCCCATGGCGATAGATATAATTAAGGTACTTCATCGGAACGATCTGCTAAAAAAATTTAAAGGGAAACATTTAAAGATAAAAAAAAAATTAAAATTTACTTTGGGAATAAGCGACTCAATTGTTTAAAAAAATCTGGAGCGGCGAATCACACAACTTTTTACTTACTACCTTACGCTATTAAAAATTAATATCTTAAAAAAATAATTTTTTTTAAAACTTATTTGTTGATAAATATTACAATCCGTTCCAATTATGGACATTTATAATAGAATTCAGAGGACACATTCGAATCATATATACTCGTGTATACAACATAACAGGGTTTGAAATCGATAATTAAAAAAATCTAAATTAAATCCGATCAAAATTTTTGTTTGGAATTTTTAAAAATCATTACTTAATTTTTATTGAGAGAGGTGTTTATTTTTAAACATCTTCGTAGAGTGTTACGAACAAAATGTTTACAATCAACAATAATAATAATTTTTTAGTAATACTTTTTTAAATCATAAATATAACATTTTTCCAATCTCCATGATATAGGTGGATATCCAGTAGTAGGTGGATAATATTGTTGCCAACTATTAGCAACAGAAAAACAATTAGCAACATTAGCTACATTTTTTATCACAATTCATTATTATTTATGTAATGCCGTATCGACAAATAAAGATCAGATATAGATTTAATGTTTTTTTTTTAATCTCTTAATGATATTTACAACTGTATTAAAGAAATACATTTAGTAAATTTGAACATATGTATATAATGACGTGGAAACACTTGTTGAGAAACTACCCAATAGTAGCACTCTAATGATATTAAGATATCACTTTAATTAGGAGATCACGGGGCCATCTTCTTTTCAGACGCCTCGGAGGGTTATCAGGAATTGAAGAGGGAGCAAGGTTCGAAACCAGAGGGTTGGGATGATTCTGAAGTTTATTATGGAAGGGTAGGAATCTGGATTGGGCCAGATCTGAAACATTAAGGTCATTATGGATGGTTTTATTTTTAACAAAGTAGAAAGCATTTAGAATTTTACGAAGAATTTTGGATTGTAAGGATTGGATACGAGAGGAATTCGATGGTTTAGTGGAGCCCCATAGCACGACTACGTAAGTCCAAATAGGCCTTATTATACTAATGTATATGAGTCTTTTGTAATTAATTGGAAGTTTAGAGCGTTTGTCTAGTAAGTGCTGAAGTAATTGGAAACGTTGAGTGGTTTCTTGTCGTTTCAATCTGGTATGAGATTTAAATTTAATTTATAAATCAGGCATGATTTTCAAATTAAAAATCAAATATAATAATAATTACACAATTTTGTTAAAAAACAATTATGGATTTCAATCTCTACGATATGTTATTAACATAGTCAATCCAACACGCACTATTGGTGAAACATCATACTTTACCAGGATTTTTCACGAAACAATTTATCTTACATCTGATTAGAAATCCCCCCCTCCAAAAAACATTTCGATTCATTTCTCCGAAGTACCCATCATCATGTATTATCCTGTATTATCCTCCCCCACTTTGACTGCCGATGGCTAGGTCATGTGAGGCTGCCTGGTTAGCACGAGATATGATTAAAAAGTTTAATGAATTGCCCTCACATCTCACATTAGTATTCCGAGCAACGTCGGTCCGACGACTATACCTTCTTTGTGCCTTCTTATTACAATCCTTAAGAACCAAAAACCTGCCTATATTTTTCACCTGCTCATCCTCCGTTCTTCCATTCACCTCTTTAATATGAGATCTCAACCTGCCGATGTGTAGGTTCCTTCTCATGGAACAACTTAATTTGATTTTTTTTTTAATTGTCTTTTATTGGTTTGGCAAATAAATCCTTTTGTGTTTTTCTGTTTATTTTTATGTCACTATGATAATTTCTTCTTATCTTATGAAATAATCTCAAAAGTGGATTGTTTATCCTGTTTGTAATAAGTCAACAACTATATCGATTAACTCTTGTTGAAACTAGCTTTGTATAGTGTATGCTATTTCACTGTAAATATGGAAAAAATATCATTCATTATCGGCATATTTCGTTGTATTATTTTAAAAAAGGTAAGCGTGCCGCAGAAGCTCATAGAAAAACTTGCAGTGTTTATGGGGATGATATGGCGAACGCACCTGTCAAAATTGGTTTGCCAAATTTTATTCAGGAAATTTCGACATCAATGATGATCAATGGCCTTAAGGCCATGATGAGCAATGTTAAGGCTATGGTTTATCAAAATACCACCCAATCAGTGCGAGAGATTGCTATGGCCCTAAATGTGTCGCACAAAAGCGTAGAAAAACATTTGCACAAGGTCGGCTATGTTTACAGGCTTAATGTTTGGGTCCTACGTATGATTGTTTTTCGAAAATAAAAAAAATAAAATAAAATCTCAATACGAATTTATCTATCTACAGGAAATTTAGGACCACATAAATTACACAAAATGATATCAACAGGATATCGTAAACAAACTACAAATAGAGATAAAAAATAAAAACCTATGCGGAGTTTTGTACAGAGTTGGCAACTAAATAATTGTAGATTGTACTAATAGGTGACTTTAATAACAATTTTTAGAGTGCTACCAGTGGGTAGTTTCTCAACAAGTCGTTTCATGTTATTATATTTTTGTGTTCACATTACTGAATGTATTATTATTTGTAATACAGTTGTAAATATCATAAATAAAATTTTAAAAAAAAGAACAATTTTACCTTTTCAATGCACGTATCTTATACATCGATCTTCTCTGCGATCTCACGAAAGAGTACGAAGATTTTTGTTTAGGACCTCTTTGATTTAGTCTTCTTCATCATAATTTCGTCGGCCAGAGCGTTATTCGTATTTCAGCGAAAATCTGCCGAATGAAATTTCGCGAACCAATTTTTATACTGCTTTTCTTTTAAGACCCCGGCACTCTACACAGCGCATAATTTTTTCAGTGATCGTGAACCATTATTTCCTTTATGAAAATAGTGTCAAAAATGGACAAGTGAAATTGCCCAAAAACTGATGAAGATAATATAATTCTAAGCACAACATCGTAAAGTATAGACAATATTTTTTTGAGAAAACATTTATTAAATTTACTAAGGTCAATGATAAAAGGAACTTTCAGAGGGTCTTATTCAACCGCTGTACAGTTGCAGTTACAGTGTCCATATTCGAGCAGCATATCTCTGTAATATCGATTCGTGAAATAATTCTGCATAATGGTAGACTACGTTACCAGACCCCCTGAAAATCCCTTTTATTTTTAACCTTGATAAATTTAATTACTTTTTTCTCAATGAAAATTTTATCTACTTTACGATGGTGTACTTAAATTTAATTATCTTGGACACTTTTGAGTAATTCCTTCTTATTTAATAAAAATCGGGACAACCCTAAAAAAAAAAATTCTTAACTCTTTCTCCGTTCACAATGAACCATGCATCAAATGAACTTTTTTGTTGGAAATTTTGTCTAGAATCACCTCCCAAAGTTTGATCATTAAGAATTGACACCCTCTATAATATTACGCCTACTATGATATATCATTTTATAATATATATGTATAGTTTTATTTCCTACCTGACTGCCTTCCCTGGATATATGAAGGCGGAAAAGAGCTTGTCCTCCTCAATGACCATCCGGTTGAAGTATTCTGGCCTGCGGGAGCTGGCAGCTGAGAAGCATACGGCCAGCCAGGCCAGGCCGCAGAGGGACATACTTCGTTCGCACGATCTAGAGGATAGAGAGAGTATAACGATATAGTCAAAAACTGAAAACACATAGGAAATATATAATATAATTAAAAGTACATTAAGAAAAAGAAAGAATATCAGAAATATAAAGGAGCAATTGGAAGCAAAAAAAAAAAAAGGTCCCAGAAGTGATGGAAGAATGAAGACTTAAATGGATCACGTAAGACGAATGAATGATGGGTACCAAAACTGATAATGTATTGGAAGGGAAAGGGTAGGAAAAGAAGAGGAAGATCCCAATGAAAGGATAGAGTAGTTAAGAGTCAGACTGGTAAGGGACTGTCGGAGGATGCGATGGACCGGCAGAGATGGAGAGACTTGATGAGAAAGAAGTTTGTAAGAGAAGAACTGGAAAACTTCACATTGAAGAAATTCATAAAAAAAAATAGTCGATAGTACAATTGTTATAATATAAAAATATAAATAAAGACAGAGACACGATTGAATAATTCAAATTTTTATCAATTAATAACATTTTACTGAATTTAGTCGATGACTGAGGAACCTGAGAAATTATTTTATTTATTAATACTAATTAATACGAAAGAGTAAAAATTCGATGAGAGACATGAATTAATAGTTAGGATATAATTTAAAAATTCAAAACATCGAGTATCTAAAATGCAGGTTACAGGAACTATTTCGTTTCTAATACAATACATCAAGAATTTAAAAATGATATATAAACTGAAACTGTACGACGTTCCAAAACGTCCAACTGTTGTTTTTGCCTGAATACACGTGGTAAAGTTGTTCCTGCCATAGCAACAAAAAACTTTTTGCCATAGCCTAATTTAGTCAAACAATAATTTCTGTATAAAAGTAGAGGAAATAGTGAAGCTTGTGAGATGCGGCCAACAGATTTTCTTACATCCACTTAGATATCTTTTTTCTCTCGTTCACCCCTAGCAGCTATTGCGCATGGAACATCCTAATTTGTGTCACAGGCATCAGTAGTCAAAACCCTACAAAATAAAAAAGAAGCAATAAAATCGGTTCACTAGTTTCCGAGAAAATCTTGGGACAGACCTACAGACAGACCAATGGCTAAAAATGTGTTTTTCGGACCAAGGGAACTCTGAAACGTATAGATCCGTCGAAAATCGCATATCGGAAATTTGACCCGATCGCAATACTTTCCTCACCTATTTAATTAGGAAAGTAATAAAAGGTGATTATATTATTGGCCAAAACATTTATTTTGTCATCATTAGTAATTTGCTAAAAAAAAAAAAAAAAATAGCATTACTTCAGTAATACTTTGAAAAATCAAAAACCGAAACAAAGGATACAACTTTTGCAGTATAACTTAAAAAAAATATCTAGAGACCATATCTTTGCTCCAAATTGTCAGATTTAAAAAAAAATTTTTTTAGGAAATTTCGTAAACTATTAAATAAAGAAAATTTTTATATTTATTCGAAAATCTAATTTTAAAATCTCTCGTAACTTTTTTCCAGCTTCTTTTCGTTGAAGTGTGTTATGTAGATAAATTTAAAAGGCATCGAGAAGAAGACTTTAGCCAAGTTTCATTGAAATCGGTACATTCGTTTATGCGCTACAGTTTACAGCAACGCAGGTTTTTCAGCCGCCATCTTGAAAGGAAAAGGCGGATAGTAATGTCGATGTAGGAGAACCATCCTCGGGTAACTTCTGACTTTAATTCCTAATTTGATTAGTCTCGGAAAAAATGCGCGGACGGCGGAAGGACAAAAACATTTTTATTCGATTATCGAATTCTACGTATCCTGAAACGTAAAACCTCACATTATGTGAGGAGGGGGTTAAGTTTTTTAATTTTTTGGTTGCTTACAATGGTTTATTATTGAAAATAACAAACTAAAATAAAAAATATAGTATTATATATTTATAAAATACGATATTTCATTTTATAACTATTGTATAAAAATTATTAAGTAAAGTAATGACAGATATATTACTCATATAATTTCTTTATCAAGGGCGAACGATCTGGCTCCAGGGCTCCTAAAACGATTACGTGAACCAGCTGCGAATCTATTTCTGGGATAATAATAACGTAGTCTTGAGGTTTCCCCTGAACCGCAAACTGAATTCGAATATAATTTTAGAACGTCGAGGAGCGAGTTTCGTAAACAAAGAAACTGCACTGCGCTGCAATGAAGATGGCAAACTGCTTCCCCGAACCGATGAATAAATATTTTCGCTAAGCTTACGTCCAGTTTTAATTATATTCAAAACATCATAGCATCTAATCCTGGAAAATGTTTAGCTAAACTGTTAATTTGCGGTTAGTTGAAGATCAATGACTTCTTAATTAGAGATTGAAATAAAGCGAAATATAGATAGATAGAAATTTATTTGTTTTTGGGTATTCCCCATACAAATAGAGCCTAGCTTGGCTATTGTAAAACAATATAGTTTTACAAGTTATATTCATACCATTTAAAAATAAATAAAATTTACAATATGTTACGTTTAAAATGGGTTTTACAAAACATGAACAACAATAGAATTTTTTTTTTTTTTTATTTCTTTATGACATTTACAACTGTATTACATAAATACATCAAGTAAATTTGGACATAATTGATATAATGACATGAATACACTTGCTGAGTAACTACCCAATGGTAGCACTCTAATGATATGACTACATTAGGAGATCACGGGGCCAACAATAGAAATTAAAAACAAAAAACGATTACTGCATAATAATAGTTATATGAACCTGTTACTATGGTAGAAACAATAAAACTTAAAAATATTTATTTATATAAACAAAATATTACTTTTAAGATAAACTAAAAACAAACACTTAATAGAACATGGGCTATGTTCAACATGATGTGATGTAGACTATTGTAGATAAATTGACTGCATGATATACAAGTTTCTTGACACTCGATCGAAAAAGTTCTGTTTTTTGCATAGATTGTAATATGTTCTGGGTTTGCGAATCTTTATTGACTGACACATCTTAATTTCTTTATGTGGACTTTGAATGTAAGGTACGTTGTAAGGAGCATTGTAACTGCATAGTATTCTGCTAGTTAGTTGAGTTTAGAGCTCTTAGTATGTCGGTTGAGAAATAATGGTTATGTATTTTTTCCAGAATGTCATATTTATATCGAAGAAGTCCGTTTGTTTGGTGAACAACTGTTTTGCAAAGGCATTAAGCTCGGCTATTGCTCTAAATTGAGACATCCAATTGAAGTCTATGTCAGGCTTATCCTTGTCTAATGATTTAAGTCTATTAAAACAGAGTTTTGGGAGTCGCTCTTCAGGCATCAACTCGAGCTTGGTCCATAGACTTGTCATCTTTTCTATCATTTTCATGCTTAATGAATACATATATTTAGTGGCAATAAAATTTTTTTTTTAATTACTGTTTAGTAATTTTTAAATCATTGAAGAAAAAATAAAGAAAATCAAATGTACACTTCTACATATTTTTTTGTTTAATTTATGGAGTAATATAACATTCTGTCACTTGAATATTGGATATACTGAGGAAAGACCACATTCACATTTATATTACATACATTCACCAAGGTATTTCAGTCATCGATGGCCAAACTCTGAATGGGGGGGTCAATATTTCCAACAAAAAAGGTCATTCGATGAAAGGCCGATTCCGAACGGAAAAAGAGTTGAGACCAATTTCGTGTTGTAGTTTTTTTTAAGTAGTCATGGTTTTTATTGAATAAGAAGGAATTGATCAAAAATTGTTCAAGATAATTAAATTTTAAATACACCGTCATAAGTAGACGAACTTTTCTTTGAGTGAACAATGGTTAAATTTACTAAGGTCAATGATAAAAGGGACTTCAGGAGCGCCACTGCACTGCTGCAGTTACATTACCACGAGCAACATACCCCTGTATTCCCGATTCGTAAGCAGTAATACAGCGGTCTTATTAGATCTCATGAAAGTCCTTTTATCATTGACAGTAGTCTTTTGATCAGTAGTTTTTAGTTCAATGTCTATTATCTATGGATTATTAAAATTGAAGCTGTCCCGCATTTCGCATCCGCATACACGGATCTGTTCTCATTCCGTGGCGTTGACACATTTTATGTTTACGCAGTTGGGGAAGTGTAATGCGACTCTTATTTTCTGTTTTTAAGTGTTCTTTGATCTATATTTTTTGATAATTTTGCCATTTTATTTTACATATTATATTTTATTTTAAACTAGCGTTTTGATAAGCTACATAAAAATGCGGTTAGAAACTCTGTACTACATCTTTGTTGATTATCCATCCCTCAATTTACTCGTATGGCCTTGCATTGGTAAACCAGTTGAATGTCAATTCAACACAAGGGCTGAAACTCACCATCTCAGATTATCTTGAAATTCCTTACAGTAATTGTAGAGAATTCGAAAAATTTGAAATTTCATTAAGATAAGTAAACTCGTTTTTTAATGACAGATGAAACGAACTCAAAAAAACAGAAAAAAAACTTATTAAAAATTTCTGTAGAATCGTTCCAAATTTGGATAGATGTCTGAGATTGATGTTGTCTTACAGCATTTTGTATACTCTTTCCTATAATATGTTATTGTTTGTAGGGTAGTATAAGCCTTTTTGTTTTAATAGGATTTAAAATTTCAATTGTCCATGAAAGAACATGCTTCAATTTTTTTAATTATTTCTTTGAATATATTTTGCCTTATAGAAAAAATAATAAAGAGAAGAATAGTTGGGGTGGTCAGTCAAAAAGGAAGGCAAAAATAAATGATAATATTTATTTTTACATATGCCGACGTTTCGACCTGAAGTTCAGGCCTTCATCAGGGCTGTCTCCTTAAGCGTTGCAGGGAGAATGTAGTGTTCTCCCTGCTTAAGTGTTCTTCCTGCAACACTTAAGGAGACAGCCCTGATGAAGGCATGAACTTCAGGTCGAAACGTCGGCATATGTAAAAATAAATATTATCATTTATTTTTGCCTTCCTTTTTGACTGACTACCCCAACTATTCTTCTCTTCATTATCAA